TTTTTTTTCCGTTTTTACATTTCTGAGATGCGGTTGGCTAAAGTGATATGAAATTATTTTGTGACCGCTCACCGATTGCTAACGGAACTCACTCATCCCGTTCTGCCTTGGGGCTCATTTTCGAGCCCGCCAACAGCTGTGTAGCGGCTAGTGATGTAGGCAAATGAACATTGCCGGCAAAGCCAAGTGAACCAGGGATGGGGATTTCTGGCTCATTAGCCGTCATCAGCCAGTCATACCTAACTCCAAGTGGTGCACCACCCGAGGCTCGAACCCGCGACCTTTTTGATCGGAAGTCCAACACTCTAACTATCGAACCTTACCTAAAGCAATTAAGTAGATATGTTATGGTAATAAAAACCATACAGTTACATATTAGGTCATAGCCGAACGTTCTGTGAGTTGCGGACGAAGAGATAGGTCAACGGACAAAAAGTCCGCTCCAGGTTGCGATTATATAGAGATTAGTGGGCTCGAAGCACAAAGCAATACTGTGGTCAAAGCATTAGATTACAAGATAGGTGAGGGTCGGTGGTGATCACAACAGAATCAGTTCTCGGGAAGCTTTATGAAAAAATGTCGGGATGGCCTGAATGCTCCTTTCTGGCATTTAAGAAATTGTCAACTAATGATAATTCAACCTCATGCAGGAACAAATCTGACATCGACCTCGCACTCTCTAGTCATTTAACACTAGGCTGAATATCTCAACCATAAAACTAGGACTTTGTGTCCAAACGAAATTGTCGTACTTCGTCCTGGAAGCAAGGTAGATAAGTGATTCCTTCCAATTCCAACCCATAGGAAATCAAGTCATAGTTCGATGCCATAACGTCTAAGTAAATGCTTGATGACCGAAACAGTCGGCTTCGAACCATGTATGACGACGTATAACCCAGAGACAACCCCTCTGGTCTTCATAGTTTTCTGGCGGTTGTATTCCTCCTTTCAATATAAAGTACCCATTCTTTACCACATGTTTACACTTCAAATCCGGGCTCAATGGACAAACGTGATATCTATATCTTCTGTTTGAAAATATGCGCAAGCGTCTACCTAACGTTTATTGTTGTATAGATAAACTTAAACACGAATGAGCACCGTTTTACAGTACAATGGATATTCGCAAAATTTTACCTGCGGGAAAAAATTTCACTTTAGTAAACAGCATTTCAATGCTGCTGTTTACACAATTCCGTCGTTTTATAAGAGAATATAAACTGTGATTAATTCACATGCTTCACTGAAAATAAAACCAATAACTCCTGTTTTCTACAACTTCTGAATTGTAGGATGCTTGTGTAACTTACTAAAGGACTGCGTTCTGAAAGCTATTACAAAAACACGAAGAGCTCGCTGGCTTTGGAAAAAAAGATTGATACATTTAGACGAAAAGTTTGATTTTAAACAATTGAACCGTATTTATTCCCTAATTTTTCTTCTGTTTATATCTTTTTCCAGACCGCAATAAATCAGTGTTGGCGTTGCAGTCAACAAATCACCTGGACAGGCTACATGGCAGACATCGATCGTAGCCTGAGAAGCGTGATGAAGAGTGTCGGATACATAACAAAAAACGTTTTGGACGAG